AACAACTACAAAGAGTACAAAATATTGCTGCCAAAATAGTTACTAAAAAACTAAAGCATGATCATGTGACTCCTATTTTAAAAGCATTACACTGACTCCCAGTGAAAGAGCGTATCATATATAAAATCTGTGTAACTTGCTACAAGTGCTTAAATGATTTATCACCGTACTATCTAAAACAGCTTTTAACACCCTATGTGCCTCCTAGAACGCTCAGATCATCACGTGACAAAACAACCCTTGTTTTAAACCTAAAATAAATTACAAATCATATGACCAACGCTCTTTTTCATATTTTGCCCCACTTGTTTGGAATAGGCTTCCAAAAACTATCAGAGAAGCAGAAAATCTGGAAATTTTTAAGAAGAAACTAAAATCATTTCTATTTTCATCATATTTCGATTAGACAGAATGCATCCAAGCTGTAGATCGTTGTGAGTTTGTATGTGCGTATGTGCATATGTACGTATGTGTGTATGTGAGTATGTATGTGTGTGTGGTGCGTGCGTGAGTGAATATGTGTTTGCATGAGTATGTAACACTATGTACCTTTAAAATTGATTTGTAAATCCATTATATGTATCATGTTAAGCGCATAGAGCACTGCATAAGTGGATATGCGATATATAAATTCAATCCATTGTTATTATTATTTATTATTATTAATGATATACCGTGGATTTTTGTTAACATAATTTTTGTTTTCGGTCTTCCGATCGTTTTGGTTTCTGTGCATCAAATATCCATTTGGTTTTCTTTCGTTAACAGGGAGACAAGATATTACAACAATTATATACACGTTACTTCTTTCTTCAGATTGAATCATCTCTCTTAGGAGACGTCGGTATTGTGTTGTAAGGGAGGAAAGCATCTATACAATTTCTCGCATTTGTCAGCTTAAGTTCCCAATTTTGTGTGTATCTTTTATTTGTCTCTGGACCATTCATGGTTATCTTTATTATTATTTTTTGTAGTATGGAACTAAAAACGAAATACATAACCAAATAACAGAGATTTCATTATAAAGGTTAGAAAAACTTCTTTAAAACTGTCTTAAATGATTCTGTTGACCGAGTCTCGACTACACTTTTTAAAGTATCTCTGTAATAACCACATACAATACGTACACTTATACTCTTATGACACATACATGCACTCATGAAATATACATATATAATGTACATACACTCTCTCTCTCTCTCTCTCTCTCTCTCTCTCTCTCTCTCTCTCTCTCTCTCTCTCTCTCTCTGGCTCACAAAAGCACACACACACACACACACACACACACACACACACACACACACACACACACATTATCATCATCATCATCATCAGAATCATTATCATCACCACCACCATCAAAAACACTACCACCACGATCCCTGCCGTCCTCACCCATACCTTAAAACATCTACACATACCGACATGTATCTATGCACGTGAGAGCAATCAGGTTATAGAATCGGTATGTAGTGTTCCCATCCTTTGACTTTTGGAGCTAAACACGTTGACAACAGCAGCTGCCGAAAGCTGACAAAACGTTTTTTTTTATTCACAGAAGTTTCAAGAAAAGGAGTTGGTTTTTTTCGGTCAGCGTAATCATTTAAAAATATAATCATTTCAAAATTTGAATTCTAATTTGTTCGAAAAATAGTCCCTGTTTCACTTTGAATTTTTCAGACCAGTAGGGTAACTGATCAGGCTTTCTATTTATCCTATAAACATTTTCAGTGACTACAACTCAGAAAAAAGCAACGCCAACAACAACAGTTTTCACTTTGCAGCTGATGCAGATGCTGGTAAATAGGATCACAAAAGAGTTCCACTGACCATTTTTTTTCCTAACGGAATTTTTTTCTAAATATGTTGCGGAACACTGCACTTCTGTTAATTAAAACGGGGCCAGCATGAGAGGCAGTCCAAACACGTACCAAGACGGCACGTCTTTCTCATTCCTTCTGGGGTGAAAGAAAGAGCTTCTGTACTATCATGATGGTGCACTTTCTGGAGTCGTGTCTTTTACCCAACTCTTTTCTTTCTTTCTCTTTCTCTCCCTTTCTCTCTCCCTCTCTTTCTCTCTCTCTCTCTCTCTCTCTCTTTCTCTCTCTCTCTCTCTCTCTCTCTCTCTCTCTCTCTCTGTCTCTCCTTCTTTCTCTCTCGCTCGCTCTCACCCAATGTGTAATATATACGTGCGACATATATATATATATATATATATATATATATATATATATATATATAAATGTATATATATATATAAATTAACAGTCTTAATCTCTTTCTGTTTTTCTTTGTCTCCGTCGTTTTCTCTTCTTCCTCTAGTTCTCAACCACAGAACACTCTGGACAGATCATGTAAAGATGATGCTACTGGCACCATTGTCTCCTGCTGCAGTCTCATTGAGAGTGGCAGTGATATTTATCCTCTTTCAACATTGATTTTTCGCCTCTCATCTTCCTGTCGGAGATGAAGGGTATCTAATGAGAGTCATCTTTGATGTTCGTTAAGCTGCTTTGGAAGTGCTGTAATGCTGAAACCGAAATATGTAGTTTGCGAACATGATACCCCAACATTCGGATAACAAGCCGATGTGAAAAATGTGTGCCAAAGGAGAATTTATAACATTAAAAAAAGAACAAAGAATTCGAAGAGCTGGGCCTGTGCGCTTATAAGGGTTTCCCTTTCTACACGAAAATTGTTTTCCTGTTTAAAAAAAAAGAATCCCCAAACCTCCTATGTTCAGCTATTTTAAAAATATCCTTCAAGGCTCAAGGACGATTTGCGTTTAAATCTATCTAAAACAGCAACATTTGATCTCTCGAAAACCTTAATCTTTGTGCTGTCTGTACCATATGCGTTTCCCTTCTCATAAACATGAATGAAGAGGCTCTATGGGTAAGGATGAGCTTAAGTCAAATTTTTGTTCTTAGATTCAAGAGATATATTATTATA